AAATGACAAATCCACACTAATATTCCAGTCTCCCTAAGCCCCTGAATCCCTCCTTATACATTAAACCAAGGCAGACTGGGCTTTTCCAGTTGGTTCACTAAGGGCCACTCTGGTTCATGTTTCAGCCAACCAAATGAATAAACTGTTAGAAAGCCTTTTCTAACTTTCTGAGCTGCAACATTACATGCACAATTCTGGCTTAGTGAACCCATATCAATAAATTCTACCTGACCCAACTTTATATTCCTTCTACCATTATCCCACATCCTTGGTGTCCATACCCTCAAATGTTCCCTGATTTTCTGTCTGTATAAATCAAAAACTCATGTAGTTCTTCTGGAATGTAGTGCATCTCTTCATGGGACACATGCTGTACCGTATCTTTAGGGGTCTATTGGTACTTGAGTATAGTTACAGGTCTAGAAGCAAAGAAGGGTGATGGGGTGGGTCCTGAGGATACTCAGCATTAGCTTGCAAGGAAACTGCCTCAGGGAGGCCATTACAGTTTCTTCAGGCAATGCTGACTGAGATGGAAATGTCAATACTGTTATGGGTGAAGAGGCTGATTCCACAGAGGGTGGGGAGACCTCTTCCATTGGCAAAGAATTCATCAGAATTTAGTTTCAATGTCTGCAGTTTCATCAGAGTCTTCCCACATGTCCCTGTTTCAGCCTATAGGATCCCATTCTTTCCCAATCAATGCCCTCACTTTAATAGTGAACACCCTGAGAGGCTCTGAGTTCAATTTGGGTTGTAACTCAATCACCAAAATCACAGGATGGTTCTGCATTTGATTTTCAGCAATTTCATCTCTGCAGCTACAGAACATAGTGGTCTCCTTTGGGGCACATAAAGAAATTCGTAGGTCATTTATGGGGTGCTTGAACTGGGAATTCAAACCTCTTAGCTCATCTTTTTCTTGCACTACTTTGCCCAGCAACATTAGGAGTAACCTGCCAATGTCATTTTATTCATTAGTTTTAAAAAATACTCAAAAATATCATTACAGAGTTACCTAGTTTCTTGATTCTTGTAAGTGGTTGATTAGGAATATCCCATGCAGGTGTTTTGGCTAGGTCATGCTGTGGACTATCAGTGTTCTCTTTCCTATTGGAAACAGAGTTATTAGCATCTTTCCATCTAGTCAGGTTAGAGAGCCAATTCCAGAAACTCTGGAACCAATTGAGAAAACTCAGTCTTAACATCCTGTTCCTCTAGAACCACTTATAGTACCAAAATCTGTATTAGTCAGGGTTCTCTAGAGAAACAACCAATAGGATATACATATGGAGATTTATTATGAAGACTGGCTCACACAATTATGGAAGCTGAGAAATCTCACAACCTGGTGTCTGTAAGTTGGAGACCCAGGAAAGCCAGAAGCCAGTGGTATGATTCTAGTCCAAGTCCAAAGGCCTGGGAACCAGAGGCGCAATGGTATAAATTTCAGTCTGAGGGCGGGAGACCAATGTCCCAGCTCAGCAGATGGGTAGGAAGGGAATGAATCCTCCCTTCCTTCACTTTTTGTTTTATGCAAGCCCTCAATGGATTGAATGATGTCTATTCACATCAGAGAAGACAATCTACTTTACTGAGTCCACTGATTTAAATGCTAATCTCCTCTGGAAACACCTTCATAGACACACCTAGAAATAATGTTTAATCTGGGTACTTTGGGGCCCAGTCAAGTTGACACATAAAATTAACCATCACAGTTTCTTTCCATCTTATACACTGATTATCTGTATGAATTTCTAACTCCATTTGTAATTCAATTATGAGTACCAAGGAAGTGAAGACTTGCTAACTGTGTATCTGGAGAAATTCCAAATTCCATGAAGTGAAGACTTGTTATGATGAACCAAAAGGGACTTTTTGTTCTGATAAATGAGATTTCTACTTCTCCATCTCTTCTAGCTCTCAAATTGGAAGAATTCAGGGTCTGGTATCAGGGTGGTTAGTATTAATAGGTAACAATTTTATTTGGAGTAAAATAAGTAGGAAAGAGAATCTTTTCAGTTTTTCTGAAATAATGATGAGGAAAATCATATTAATTAATATATGTCTGTGACTGGTTTGGGGAGTATACAAGATATCCAGTGAATAACTGCTAATTAAAGAGGAGGAAAAAATAGTAGCTGATTCACTTTTACTGATCATCTCTATGTCTGAGGGTCTTTGCCACATGTATTATACATGTTGACATACAAAGTATTGTGAAGAATATGTTCTTACCCTATTTTGCAGATGTAGAAACTAAGGGTCAGAGAGATTAAACGACTTGTCAAAGGCTATCCAGCTACTAACATGTGGAGACTTAATTCAATTCCAGTCCTGATTTCAAAGCCTATGTATTTTTTACCCGACCAGCATTTCCAATGTATAACAAAGAAGATCAATGCTGAGAAGTATTCTCTGAGTAAAAGATTGTGTGGCTACATGAATTCAGAAAACTCTGGATAGGAAATTTGTTTCTTAGCAATTCCCAATGTATGTAATAAAGCTTCTGAGAAGTCCCGAGGAAATCAAACTAAATTGTTTGCTAAATCTAGCATTTGACTATGGACACTTTTGTTCTTTCATATTAATTCTTTGGAAAATCCATGGTTTACTGAGTTAGGCTAAGAGCCAAAAGTCATGGAAGCTTCACTAGCTAAAAAGGTGTTTATCTATGGGTAAGTTAGATCACCTCTTTGAGCCTGGATTTCCTCATTTATGAAATAAAAAATTGGCCAGATGTTTCACAACATCTTTTTTAAGTATAAATGATTGATGATTCTGATTCTTTTTAAGATTTTATTTATTTATTTCACAGAGAGAGATAGCGAGAGCAGGAACACAAGCAGGGGGAGTGGGAGAGGGAAAAGCAGACTCCCCACTGAGCAGGGAGCCCAATGCGGGGCTCGATCCCAGGACTCTGGGATCATGACTTGAGCCGAAGGCAGACACTTAATGACTGAGCCACCCAGGCGCCCCAGACTCTGATTCTTTTTTAACATGAACAAAATCCATTGAGCCTTGTATAGATCGCCAGCAAGGTGTCTGAAATCTCCACTCAGTTTCCTACAGGACACCTAAAATTCATTATGTACAAACATATTCATATCCTGTCTGCTATCCTGTTCCCCCATCCTCTTATATTTCTTTATTTCTCCATATATTAAGTGGCATTAATAGTCACTTAGCTGCTTGTCAGAAACCTGTTGATGATCCTGGACTCCTTTTCCCTTGTCATTACAGATCCAATCAGTATTAAATGTGGTAATTAAATGTGTGGGCTTCAGTGTTAGACTCTAGAACTCCCAGTTCTAGTTGTAGGAAAATGGGCATGTAGCTTTACTTCTCTGTGTCTCAGTTTTCTTATGTAAAAAATGAACAATAATAATTCCAAGTTCATAGAGTTTTTGTCAAAAATACATGAGATAAATAAATGCACAGTAGAGATACAATAAACAGGTTCTTCTTATTATTCTGCCTTTGAATTTCTTCTGTTCTTCTCTTTCTCAGCCGCCATAACCTCAGACCTCATTATCGTACCAATATTCACTTACAGGTAGTCATCAATCTGGGCTAACTCTTGTCTGGTTCCCACAAATTTATCCTCTATATTTCTGATGAGCATTCTTTTTGATTTACAAATCTGTCATATTATTCTGCCCTTGAGACTTGCACTCCAGTCCCACAACTGTCCCAGTCAAAAGTCCAAATGACTTGTAGTTCTCAGAATAAGCTGTGCTGTTCCACACTTTGGCAATTTGCTTGTACCACTTTCTAATGTTACCTGAAATGCTCCTGACACTGCCCTTTGTCTAACACGTATCTGTTCATCTTTAAACTTAAAATGTCCACATTGACTTTTCTGGTCCCAGATGGATTTCTAGGATCTTGCTACTTCTCATGAAGAGATGGAGCCTATTACTTCTCTTTTTAAATTTAGACAACACTTTCTGACATCCTCGACAGACAAGATCAGCGTGGGTTATGCTGTGTAGCCCCTGAGGTCATAAAAGGCAATAGGGCTTATTCTTGGCTTTCGTTTGTGCGTATGTGTGTGTGTGGGGGGATACTTGCTCTTGGATATCAGCCACCAAGTTCCAAAGCCCAAAGTAGTCCATGTAGAGAGATAACATGAAGAAGTCCACATGGAGAGGAAGAGAGGCTCCTAGCCAATAGCCAGCATCAACTGAGGGCTGGATCTCAATCTCTCTCTCTCTCTCTCTCTATGTATACACACACACATACACACACACATATACATTTTATATATATATGTTCTCTCTCTATATTCTCTCTCTCTATACATATGTATATAGCGAGATCAAGATACAATATTTATAGATATGATGTGTGTATATATATATCATATATATGTATATATATATTTATCATATAAATGTATGTATGTATGTATGTATGTATGTATGTATATATGTGGGGACAATATATCTCCACAAAATATATCTGCACAAAAATCTCTGCCTTCATGGACCATATATTTCCTATAGCCTGTGGCCATGTGTAGGAAATAAGGATACTGTAGTAAAAGAGATGTCCTCAATGAAGCAAGAAGAGAGGAAAGTATCCTTTTAGATAGATTTACTCATTAATGTGAAAAATCATTTACAATTTAGCATGAATTAGAAGAGCAAGCTGGAAGGAGAGAAGCCCTTGGATTTTTTCCACCTGCTCATCTAGCCAGTGAACTTCACGGACAGTTATGCATTCAGGCTTCTTTGTAATTTAAGCCTTCTCTTGTGTGCTGCATATGGCGATCTGGGCTAGCCGTATGGGATGTGACTCCTGCTTCAAGAGTAATGTTGAAGTTTGTCGCACTCACTGCCGTGGTGGGAAGCAGACTGTTGTTGAAGCGTTATTATTAATGAGGATTACTGCTGGACAGCTTGAACTAGAGGATAATTTATTCTCCGTGAACTTCTAATTGCAGTAAAATGGTTCGTTCACTGCCACACTTGTCCATCTTGTTGGCTTCTGTCTTTCAGGCACGGTTGGCTGCAATGAAATAAGGCAGAGCTGCACAAGAAACAGAAGTCTGCATTTCTGGAGACACCGTGGAAACTGGTCAGAGAGCTTTAACTCATGTAAGAGAGGCTTGGGAAAATGATGCAAAGCATTCTGGCATTCTCACAGGGGTGATAATCAATTCATACGAACCGAGGCACCTACTATGCGCGATACATTATGCCGAAATGGGAAATGAGTTTCCAGATGGCCTCTCACTGCTCTTGCTTTTGAAGCTCACACTTTCTCTCTGGCATTTCCGAGACAGAGCTCTTTCTCTTCTATTAAAATTTAGCATACCCTTTCCTTTCTCTCATTTTGCTTCCAGAGATTGCTTTGGGAAAATGAAAACTGCCCATGATAATGACGTGTGTACTTTCTCGGTGGTATCTTTGATGTTATGGTGGTTTCCTCCTGATTTTTGCCAAATTTCTGCCTCTCATTGATTCCAGTTGTCTCCAGTTTTTATCCCTGGTAGAACGACTGCCTTGCTCTTTGCATAAATGTCATTAAATGTGCTCCTGACTTGCTGCTACCATGGAAATAGATGCTTGTCATAGACTCATTACTATATTTATAAAAGATTTGGTCACTTGTGGTTTCTAAGGCTTAAGAGGCACCTGGATTCCCAGCCAATAAAATGATTCAAACATGTCTAAGATGGATGGTAGATTAGGGTTTGGGTGCTATTATTATTTAATAGTAAGGTCTCTGAGTGGACTGGTGACAGGGTATCACCTGGGGAAGTGATCTTGGCTGTCAAATAGCATCCATTCTACTGTAGACAATCTTAATGGGACACTCAGCCAGAGAGAGAGGGATAGGCAGAGAAAGACAGAGAGATTGAGTCTTGCCATCACTATCGTTGATTATCTTTGACAATTTCACACTTACTGGATAACAGGCCTGGAAGAATCCCAGGAAATGTCTGTAGAGATGCTAAGGAAGTGGAAAGCCTGGTTGACCTCAGGCTCTCAGCTTGATCTAGCAACGAGTGCTTTATGTGAGGAACAGATGGCTTACATTGTGTTTTAAGGACCACTGGGAAAGTAGCCATACAATAGTTATTGGATAGATGTACCCATTTACTGCCACAGAGCCTGAAATTCTGGCCTTGGAGCCATGCCTTTGGCTTTAAGCAGGAGACAGTAATTATTCACAGAAGGGGAGGATGGGAAGCACAAGTTAGGGGTGTTAAGAATTGCTCGTTGAGAATCATTCTAGCCATTACTTATGGAAGAAGTCATATTCTTACGTGTTGGGACAGAAGAAGATTGGAATCCATTGGGCTAAGGCATTGCCTTCCCTGGAATCCCCCTGAGATTATATACAAATCTACTGTAGAGAGCAGCCTACTGAGAGGCAGTATATCGAGAGGGCTAGACCCTGGATTTTGTAGCCAGACTCCCCAGGTCTAAATTTTTACTCTGCTCATAGTGCCTGTATAATCTTTGGAAAATCATTACCTTCTCTAGGCTTCATATGTTTTATCTGTAAAATGGATTAACAGTTGCACTTAGCTCATAGGGTTATTGTGATGATTAAATGAGCTAATACACCAAACTGTTCACTTAAAGCAGTGTCTTACACTGAGCGAGCACTACAGGAGTTTTTACAATTATTAATATTTTGGGGGGTAAATTTGTTTTTCTCCAATTGTTGTTTTCCAAGGCAGTTTGGAATTGACTGGAGCACATCCAGACCATTTTGATGAAAGGGAGAAGGAAAAGATGTTTTGAGCCTAAGATCCGCCCCCCCCCCAGTCACTCTGGGTGGCTCTTTTCAGTGGGGTGCTTCTGACAACCTAACGGCCACATGAGGACCATGCATGACTCCACAAAAGCTGAGTTAGGGAGAAGAGATGTGAGAAAGATCCTTGTTTTTTGTTAACCATTTAGTCAGGATCTCTAAGCCCACCATAATCTTTCCTCTCATTCTGTGTTTCCTTTTAGACGATGTAGAGAGCGATTCTTCTAAGCGGTTGGTGATGAGCCTATGTTGGTGACGTTGTGAGTGCTGTTTGTAGAAGTTGCTGGCACTTTAGAGACAGAAAGACCAAGGTTCAAGTTCCGTCTGTGACATCTACTCTCTCTGTGAGTCTTGATAAACCACTTAACGTCTCGGAGCTGCAATCCCTCATTTACCAAACGGGCATGCCAAAATGTGCCTACCTCCCAGAGGGGCGGCACTAATCAAATGTGATGATATGTGTGACAGCGACCTGTAAACTGTAAAGGGTGACATAGATGTGAGTTGTTATTATTCGTGGTTCCTTTAGTTTCCCTGTTCTCTACAAGCGGACCTGCCTTTTAGCAGCACCTGTCTGCTGTCATCACTTGGCTGTTGATTTTATTTGAGGGCTTCACTCGTAAGCCTGTAACTGGTAATTGTACGCCGGCTTCTCTTGCCGTAGAGATGGTACACGCCCGTTGCCGGACTGGTTCAGGGAACCAATGCTGAAGCTCTGTTTCCATAAGACAAGGAATCCTGACAGTGCTCGGGAGGGGTGATGCGCTCTCCTCCATCTGTGAATCACGCCGTATTAACAGGAAACTTTTTGGAATCATGAGCTGTTTTGGGGTGATACCGTTTCTCTGATGGTCGATAAAACAATTTCAGAAACCAAGAGAATTAGAGGTTGGCTAGGGTGGAATGAATGCTATAAATCAAGATTACCTGGGGGGATAGGAGAGGTAAGGAATTAGGTTGAGTAAAGAGATAACAAGGGGAAAATAGCCAAGGAGCTTGGAAAAATTTACCAACGTGCAAGAGCCGATTTTTGAGTACTATGAAAGAAAAATCATTCTGATGGAAACATTTTCACTAGCAGATTCATGTACTAAGATTACGGTTTTCTTAGTTTTGCATACCGGCTCAGTGCAGTGACATTTGGCTGCCTTGGATTGAAGTGTTACAAGTAAAAAAAGGAAGAGGAAAGAGATGTCACTGTCAGTTGTGGACAGACTCAGATGGGGTCGGATCTGTGCTCTGTGGGTCACAGAAAACATTTTCAAATACCTTGCCTTTCAGGTCTCGATCATGGACAAAAATAGAGCACAGAAGGTGCTTCTTAGGGAAGACTTCATTTTCCCGATCTTTCACAACTGAAAAGTGGAGCAAATGAGTATCTGGATACAGACCCTTGACACCAAGTGACTGGGAGTAAATGGAACACTGCAGGGACACAGAACTTTGCCCGCCACTGAGCATATTACCCGAGAAATACAGTACAGACCCAGCAGGCTTCTGCAAACAACACATCCCTTTAAGTTAATTGGTGTTATATAGAAGCTGAAATGCTCCGCTTATTTACAAAGCTACAGATTTATGTAAAGCAAAACCAATTACACTTAATGCCTAAACTATTCCAGGTGCTCAATGATAATGTTGCTAGGCTCTAGAGAAGAGACTGCGGGGTGAATGCATCCTGTTCCGAATGGAGGCATGTGTAGTTACTGCAATTCAGCTAATCACAAGTGTCAAGCCCAATGTGAGAATTCTAAGCTCTTTTGGTGTTGCTTTGGGTCAACTTTACAATTCTGTAGATCTCCTTTCATCTCTAAGGATGAGTGAAAGCATAATGAGCACTTTTTCTCTATTATGATGTAGAAATTAGGGAGATGAAGGCAAATAATTAAAAAAAAAACAACTACACACGCAACAAAATAAAACAGACCCTTATTCTAATGGTGAGAGAGACTGCCAGAGCTCCTCACTTGGACTAAGGTGAGGTGCTTAAAGGTTTCTTGATATTTTGGATGTTCACAAAACCCAAACTGCAAACGTGGCGTTTGACCTTTTGCCGCAAAGAAAACCTCTAAGACATATCCAGAGGTTGGCCTCACTATTTTGCCAGAGAACAAACACAAAAAAAGAAAGATTTGGAAAAGTTACAGGGCAAGAATTCATGTGTGCACGAGCTAGTCTTTTTATTTGTCTGCAAAACAAACAAGCAAACAAAAAATTGTTTAAGTAAGAGAAACACCTGGTGCTTTACAGCTGCTCTTTTGCAATTAAAAATGCATATCATATCTAATCAAGATGAATACATCTTTTATTCTACAGATCTAAAATATTGTAGGTATACACAAGGGAGGTGCTTAATTGCAGAACCATTTGCAATCAGCTGACAAACCCACCTATCCTATCCACTATGAACGGTCCTAGAAAGCAGCGGTGCTTATACTCTAGGGAGTACAAGAATGATTTGGCTGTGTTTGTTAAAACCACTGATTCCTGGAAAAAGAGTTGGTTAAAGCAGTCTTTGGGAGGGACCAGAAAATTTTCCTAAAGCAGGTGACTCTCAACCAAACGTTGACAAGCACTGCTGCAAAGGCATGGGGCATAAGTTTATTTTATATTAGTTTATTATTATTATTTACTTTTATTTTATTTTTTTAGAGAGAGACAGGGAGTTGGGGAAGGACCGAGGGAGAGAGAGAGAGAGAATCTTTTTATTTTTATTTTTATTTTATTTTTTTTTATTCTTATGTTGATCCCCATACATTACATCATTAGTTTTAGATGAAGTGTTCCATGATTCATTGTTTGTGCATAACACCCAGTGCTCCATGCAGAATGTGCCCTCCTCAATACCCACCACCAGGCTAACCCATCCTCCCGCCCCCCTCCCCTCTAGAACCCTCAGTTTGTTTCTCAGAGTCCATCGTCTCTCATGGTTCGTCTACCCCTCCGATTTCCCCCGCTTCATTCTTCCCCTCCCGCTACCTTCTTCTTCTTCTTCTTCTTCTTCTTCTCCTTCTTCTTCTTCTTCTTCTTCTTCCTCTTCTTCTTCTTCTTCTTCTTCTTCTTCTTCTTCTTCTTCTTCTTCTTCTTCTTCTTCTTCTTCTTCTTCTTCTTCTTCTTCTTCTTCTTCTTCTTCTTCTTCTTCGAGAATCTTAAGCAGGCTCCACACCCAGTGCGGAGTCGGACGCGGGGCTTGATCTCACGACCTTGAGACCATGACCTGAGCTGAGACCAAGAGTTGGATGCTTAACCGACTGAGCCACCCAGGTGCCCCAGTTCATTATATTTTATATGAGTTTCCACATTTCTTTGGTTATACAGAAAGAATTTCTTTTGGAAGATGATTTTGTGAATGGTTCTGAATTGGTAGCACTGAAGACCAAAAGATGTCAATTAGGTTAGGGAAATGCTTTAAGGGTCTCTATTTGATTTATCACTTACCCTCTCAACACTCATTTCCCCTTCTCCAATTTTCCTTTTTTCTTTAATCATTCCCTCATTTACCTTTATTTTATAACTTCTTCAGTATGTGAATATTCTTTCTTTTTTAAGGACCTCTATTTTAGTTAACACTGCTTTTCAATTCAGAGAAAATTTCCTTAGTTCATATCCATAGTGTAACATCAAGATCAAATACAGTAAAATGACGTATAGACTTACTATTTAGTTAGACATAGACAGTATATGCTCACAAGGCCTGGCATGTAGTAAGTGCTCAATAAATGTATAGAAATGATTATTTTGATTCTATTAGCACATTAGAACTAACAATTATAATTTATATTGCTCTTAGTGGCTGAACCAGTATTGTAAGAAGTTGTAAAATATTGTAAGGTATACGAAATTGTCATTTTGTTGTCATGGAGTAATCACAGGCTTTGAAATTAACTGTAATGTATAATGTGTTAATGCAAAAGCATTAATAGGCACAATAGTTTACTAGAGGAGTCATAATTAGTCTTTATAAATAAAGTACACAGATAATACTTGTGAAGTCACTCCCATACATATTAGTTCTTAAACTAAAATGTGTAAGATGTTCAGCTAAAGAAAACAATGAATACTTTGCTCATAAGACAGGTAGAGTCAAAGATAGTTTCATAGGGCTGTCTCCCAAAGATCAATACTTGAAGAAAATTCCTGCGTACTGCCATAAAATTTCAGAGACTTTTCATGGAGGAGAAGTGTTTCTTCAAGATTACTTCCACTGATGTTCTGGGCATTAAAATGATTTAGATTACAATACCTAAAAAAGAAAGAAAGAAAGCTTTTTTTAGGACCAGATGTAGATGACTTGATAAATCATTTGCTTTCTCCCTGTGCTTGTCTACCTTTTATTATGGGCCCATAGATACTCGCACAACAGTGATGATTATTTAAGAGCACTGCTCACCAGAACAGTCTTTATAAAACGACAAAAGGAGTTTTAGGACATGTTAAGGTGTCTCACAAGGACCTTTAGATGGCGCTCTTTTACAACCTGCAATGAGTGGGACAAAGAGACAGACTGGAAAGTCTGAAACCCTATCAACTTGACAGTGTTCATGGAGGCCGGGACTCATGAAATGCTTATCAGATGCACGAGGGATTTGTAAATTCAGTGTTGGACCTATGTGGAAAACACCATGGTCAAAGAAGAAATCCATGAATACATTTCTAGAATGTGTACTCTTTACTCCTGACCTGAGGAGCACCTGGTTTTCCTGAGTGTCTTCTAAGGGCCAGGCACCGGGCTGGGCACTAACCCCACCCTAACTACTGAATTCTCACACTAACCCTGGAAGGATGAAATTATCCCCAGATAGGGAATGAAATTATTTCACAGATAGGGAAACTAAAGTTCTAAGAGGTTAAATAACTCCCTTGGGGTTCATATGAATAGTAGTCGCCAGAGCCTCGGTTTGGAATCAGAGCTCCTTATTCAGAATCCTGGCCTTTTGGCCCTAGGGAACACGACTTCTAAAGATGCATTACTGTCTTAAACACCTTTGAGTAAGCTTCTGGAGGATTTGAATTTCAGACTGCTTTATTCATTGCTGTGTTCCTAGTGCCTTGACCAGTGCCTCGTTCGCAGCAGATGCTCAAAAATATTTGTTGAACAAATGAATATGGGCTACAAGTTCAATTTTATCAAATACATGTAAGCCTCTGGGGTCAGGCATCTATTTCTGATGTGTAAAAGTTTCCAAAGTTCAGTTTACCTTCTTTTCCCTCTCAATATATTGCCTAAAGTATCTGTAAGAGAAGAACATGCTTGAATAACTGGTCTTTTGTCTCTGATTTATGTTGCTTTCAATAATTGTTATAGATTATGCACAAAAGATTACTGGTATCATTGGGGTGCCTGGGTGGCTCAGTTGGTTGAGCGACTGCCTTCGGCTCAGGTCATGATCCTGGAGTCCCTGGATCGAGTCCCCGCATCGGGCTCCCTGCTTGGCAGGGAGTCTGCTTCGCCCTCTGACCCTATCCCCTCTCATGTGTTCTTTCTCTCTCATTCTCTCTCTCTCAAATAAATAAAATCTTTAAAAAAAAAAAAAAGATTACTGGTATCATTGACAAAATTAGTGCAATGATATCAACTTTAAGACATGTTTTGCAACATTGGGGGAACAGTGGTGTTGTTACAAAAACGAACACCCCTTTGCCTTCCCTCCCTAAAACATCTGTAATATCTTTTTATTTTAGCATCTAATGTGGGATACATATTTATATTCAGCACTATAGAGATGTTTATATAATACTCTTCAGCTAGGGAAAGACATTTCATCTACCCACTTCCTTCACCCCCAACCTGGAAGCCCTCAAGTATGACATGTTATCATTGCCCTATTTCAGATTTGATGGAGGAGGACTCTCATAAAGACAGAGGCAGAGGTCTGTTTTTTTTTTTGTTGTTGTTATTGATTATTTGTTTTGGGGTGTGTGTGTGTGTGTGTACAAATGAAAAATAAGTCTGGCCTGACATTCATAGATAACTCCTAACCATACTCTGTTAGGTGATATCCCAGTGACCCTGACAAGATTTGTTTGGTTCTAGGACTCACACTAGGGTTGCACCACACTAATATAAAATTCACGGTGGAGCTGCCCTCAGGTGCCAACACAGACCAAAGGCCACCTGTATATTGGTGAGGATGCTGTTTCATAATTAATATGCTGTTCTCAAAATTTTAGGGACAAGAATGACTTGGGATGGTTCTGCTGTTGATAGATTTGCCACTGTTATGTGGCTCTGAACACCATCGGGTTTGGTCAAAATTGGATTGTGACTGGATGTTTATTGTAATCAAGTGCTATCTGACTCCTAAATATGTTTCAATAATACTGTCCCTAGAATACCTGTGTTTTCTCCTGTTTCTTTGACGACTTATTGTTAGTGTTTGACAATCACAATCAGAATAGAAATAAATCAGAGTCATTCACTCCTCACTACAGACACTGATGCCCTGTGACTGTAAGTTCCATATGATTTCTTGCCTGACTTCTGGCTTGGCCCGTCCCACCCCAACGGCCAAGAGATACCCAAGGTGATGTGTGTCTTTCTGTCAAATTTTTCAGACTCTCTTTTCTTCTGATATGGGACACCTGTTCTTTCCCTATGGAGTGGCTGATCAACAGGTGATGGTGGGTATGGTTACTTTAACTGAAGGGACTGGTTTCTTTCCTACCCACCAGAGTCAAGGGGTTGTCACGGAGCAGGTAGACAGCTCCTCTAAGGCACTTAGAAATAGCATGCTATACGAGAAAGTGTTTATAAACAAACACACATGGGTTTGAATCCTAGGTGTGTGAACCTAATCAACTTACTTACCTAGATTCTTACTTTGGTTTTCTTATTTATAAAGTAAAGTGATAAGATTTAGGTAGCAGGGAGGTGGTGGAGATTAAATGTCATTTGTGTGTCTTGCATGCTGCCCAAGATACAGAAGTGCTCAACACTTGGAAAATTAATTTTCTCCCTTCCTGCGTTGTTTTATTCTTTCTCTCTTTTTTCCCCCCTTTCCTCAAAAAGTATACAGAAAAAGGGGGGAAAGCATAGGGAACTAGAGAAGATATACTAAGAATCAGATTTATTTCTAAATAAATCTCCTATTATCACTTAGTTCCTTCTCATCTTTGGCTCCTCCAATATTTGGTGCTTTGTACAATTTTATTCTTGCCTCCTTCTCTGCACCCCACTCCACCATCTTTCACTTCTTTATAGTAATTCACATGTTCGACAATCACAGAGAAAGAATCACACTTAAATAATTTAACTTGAGCGCTAGATATTAGCTCCATGTAGACGGGTACTCTACCTTCTTTGGTTCTATTTTTTCAAATGCCTAGAACAATGCTTAATATATTGGTTGAATGAATGAATGAATGAGTAAATCCCTGAGCTCATAGATTCTGGGTCCAGTACTAGTTCTTCCATGAATTCAGCCCATAATCCTGGTCATCTTGGCCACACCTCTGCATGAATCTAGAAGAATTAAAAGGAGGAAGCAGGGGAGCATAAGGCAAAAAATGAGGCCATTGTTATTACTGTAGCTAAGATTTTTGAGCATTTTCTCATCCTCACAGCAACTTTATGGCACAATTCCTAATCTTATTATTATTTCATTTTAGAAATGAAGAAATGGGCTTAGCAAGGTTAAATACCTTGCTGACGTTTGTACAGTTAAATTGTAGAACTGGATTCACCTAGGCTAACTCGAAAGATTGCTTTTTAAACTACTTTGTGAAAAGACAAGGGTCCAATCTTACTGTGGGAGAAAAAGTAAAAGTTGAGAAACTGCAGGTTTATGAGAACTGGTAGATGGTCACCACTTATGTGTTTGGAGGCAATGGATGGAGGGGAAAGATGCTTTGCCTTCACCTTCAGTTTTCACTGAAGACTCTTTTGCTACAAAGCTGAGGACGTTCCTGTTGGATTCTTCTGCAAGACTCTCTGATACTCTAATTTGGTTTTCAATCCAAGAATGAGATAGGTATTTTAGAGAAACTATACATTGTGGGGAATTAATTCAATAACATATGCTTTGGAAGGTGAGAGATTTGAAAATTCCAGGGAGCCATTAAGACTTTTGATTTTGGGGGCACCTGGGTGGCTCAGTCATTAAGCATCTGCTTTCGGCTCAGGTCATGATCCCAGCGTCCTGGGATCAAGCCCCGTATCGGGCTCCTTGCTCCGTGGGAAGCCTGCTTCTCCCTCTCCCACTCCCCCTGCTTGTGTTTCCTCTCTCGCTGTGTCTCTCTCTGTCAAATAAATAAATAATATCTTTAAAAAAAAAACACTTTTGATTTTGTCATAATGGGATTTAAGTGCCTCTCTCCTACACTGGACCCAAAAGCTCCAAGAGAGCAAGAGCATAGTAGCACTAAACGTTTACTGACTTACTGACTTCTGGTCCTTCTAGTTTACTGCAGTACCCATCACATGACTGGTGTTCCAGCAGAGATTTAGTCAATGAATAAAAGAATGATTTAGGCAAGGGAGAAGTGACAATGATGGGATAAAATGTGACTAAATAGATAAATGAATAGAGGAAAATGAGAAAAATAAAGATCTCTCTAGTTTCCACAATGTGGTAGACATTGTGCTCAGCCCTTTACCAAAATTCAGATCCCTAAAGCCCACAGGATGTTGGTATTCTTGATTTTATTTTACAAGTATAAAAACAGAGGCTCAGAGAGGTTAGACAATTTGCTCAAAAGTACACAGCTATCCAAGAATATGTCAGTGAGAGAGAGAGGTGGGCTGGCGATGGATGGATGGTAGATGATACATATTAAGCCACGGAATGGTCTCAGGTGACTGACTAAATGATTTTGCAGTTTGTTATTGACCTTGAAATGGTCACTGCTAATTTAAAGGCCTGAATGGAATCCAAATCTTAAGCATCATTAGATTTCTAGCTATTTGTTGAATGGTATTTGCTTTTAATGATAATGACTCATTCATTCTTATTATCAATATGGTTATTTGTAATTCTAAAGTGGTACTATACAGTGGAGAAAAAATATCATCCTTCAGAACATGTTTTAGAATCGAGTAAAGCACTATTTTATTATAAGGATCAATGGCAAAAGTGAAGTCTAAATTGAAAATTCTTGCTCTGAATAATCTGTTAAATTTCTCTAATATGCTAATTTGTCCAGTCATGGCATACAGGATTCCCGTTGGCTCAGTGATGGTTCCCAGATCAATATTCCATGGACTCAGAAATTGCTCATCTTACCACAACACTTACCTTTGTGAAACACTCCAGAATCCCAAGACGTTCAACAACGTTAATGATGCCAAAAAGAAGAAGAAGCTTTCTAAATTGCCTTTGTTTAATGTGTTTGGAAACCAATTGCCTGTTTGGAACAAATGTAATTGTTATTCAACTGCAGAGCAGTAAGTTTCTGTGAATGTTTTATCATTACACTATTCATAGAGATTTATTTGCTTCAATAATATCTACAAAGCAAAAAAGCTCATCTTAAACTCATTTTCAAAATTCATTTAATTCTGTAATTAACAGTAAAATGACAAGCAAAGCACCCCAAATATTTTGAAGGTCACAAAACCTGAATTTGCATAACACAATATAGGTTCAGAGGAACTGAGCTATAAAAGTAACCCTGATTATGCTAATTTACCAGAACGATGTATATATATCTTATTCATCCTTATATATCTAGTATCCAGAACAGTGCCTGACATGTAGGAATTGCTCAGTAAATAGACATTGAATGAATGAATGAAAACTATTTATCACAGCCAGGTAGTCTGTTGCATATTCTAATTGTAAGGTTAGTGACATAATAAACGTAGATGCGAGATGTTACATTATTTTGACAACTTAGATAAATCCAGGATCACCTCATTATAATATCACAGACCTCATTATAATATCACAGACCACAGACTGGTCAAATTACTTGCAATCTCTGGTTGACATGAACGTATTTTTTTGACCTGATAAGTAATGTCTTCAAATGAATACTTCTAAACAAGATACCCCCACTTACGATGTCAAACTGCTATATGCAAAACTATTACATGAGTATATATGAAACTATTTAGGATTCAAAGTAATTGCTTTTACTTTGCTGCTAAATTTTGACTTTTGCTTTGCATCTTTGCTATAATTCTCTCTTTCTTTCCATATCCAAATGCATATCTATATGTATCATCTCTATTTCTACACACACTCCATTTTCCTTCAGTGGGTTTGAGATATTATTATTTAATACATTATATGAGATAATGTATTATATATATGCAACACTTATTTTTATGCAGTACTTTTAAAACAACAATGGGATCTTAGTATTAACAAATACAGATATATAGTATCACAGAATGTTAAAAAGATTGTTCAAAAGGCAAAATCTATCTTAAAGTTCTCTTAAGAGAACTTAAATTCAATTGCAGTTCTGAGTGGGCAGAATATTTCCAAAAACAAGTTATGCATCATGAGAACAAGAATTAATCTTCTTTGAGTAGTCAGATGCCAAGGTTTTGGCATTTTCTTGCTTTTTGTAGGAGAAGATCCTACAGTGGGTTGTGAAGAGGGGTGTGAGACTACAGCAATCAGTCGACGTGCCAATAGACTTGATCTTCAGTGCTATCTTTGGTACAAAGTTTGTGAACTAGAACATGATTCCTGAACTAGAAAATGATTCTTGGCCTTTCCCTTGACAGTGCATACTTTTAAATGAGATTTGAATTAAATACTCTGTTCAGGGTTGATCGTCAGCAAGTGCATAAGTATGACAGCTGTGATTCATTGTGCCACCTCCCATTTAAAGCTGCTTCTCTCCTGTCATTTAACAATGACTATTATGGACCAACCATGAAAATTAGCTTGTTTCTTGGACCTATAATTGAAATCTGGTATTGAGTTGAAAGCTATGTGGTAAGTTCTACTTCCCCATTTTATTAATATATGTTCCATTACAATAGAAATGTATGGTGTTATTGTTATATTGACATAATGCCTTCATTTGATAGGAGTAGTTTCATATAATGTTTCCCTCTGTGTCTGTGTATTGGGTCTATGTAGCCTGCTGTGTGTGTGTGTGTGTGTGTGTGTGTGTGTAGAAACTACACATTTGATTGTACTTGAATGGCGGGAGTTGGGGGCAAGTCAAGATAAGGTGAGATAACATCACACATATTTTAAGGAAGAACTAAACCACCTTGCTAAGCTTATTCAAACAGTCTTATTTCCTTATTTCTCTTGAATTAATATCACAATCATATTTCTGTCCTTTTCATTTCACATCTGCACTTTGCATGTGATGTGATTAGACCATTTTATCACCATGTTTCTCTGGCTAGACTAAGAGGAGTTTGCACAGAGTATGCGAAGCCTCAGAATTAACACGACATGAATTTTTCTTGGAGCATGTATTTTGGTCCATAATAAGTAATTGAAAAGGCTATCTTTATATTATAACAAAGTCAGATGAGGGAGAAGAATATAAATTTTGTAAGATCTTTAAAGGTAAAACATAATATTTCTAAAAAAAAAAAAGTGCAATTACAGCAAATAACAGCCTATCCGGATACGGCCCCCGCTCGCCCTGCACATGCCCGTGTGCTTGGAACTGTCACTGGGGGTATTGCGGTGGGCACAAATGAGAAGCGCCGTGACTTGGAACTAAGGGCGTGTGGGGGTGATGGGAGGATGTCATGCTGGAAAGGTTAAGGGAAGGCAGCGTGAATTTACAAGTAACACAAAACATTTTGTGAGTGGAGTTATTTAAAAAATAAAATGAAAGATTGCCATATCACCTATTCAAACTCCTGATAACATTTCTATAGTCTTTCTCATATATCATTTTTAGTGTTCATCTTCCTTCCTAATGCCAATCTTCATGCTAGCCCCATATTTTTGCCTTACTTAGCTATAATTTCACATTCCCTATGTAGCTAATGTACATGGTGAGTTCCAAGGTAAGGAGAGCAATCACCTGAATTGAAAACATGGAATACACACAGCATCAAGTTGGACAGAGAGATTCTTCATGAAACCTAAAATTTGTTCTATTAATATAGAGATTATCAGTCTAGGTAAAGAGATAGCTTTGGGTGTGAAGAGACATAGAAAGAGCATGGGCTTTGGAGGCAGAGAGAATTTCAAAGTCAAATATTGTCTCTGTTATTTAATAGTTTTGTTTTTGGGCATTTGCCCAATCGGGCCACTTCAGCCTTGGTTTCTCTTCTCTAAAATGACAACACCACCTTTCTCATGGAGCTGTAATGAGAAGTAAAAGAGATAATAGATGTCAAGGGTTGGACACAGAGGAGGCACTCCATAAACTCTAGATTATCACCACCCCCACGCCTTAGAAGTGGCTCATACAAAATCATGTAGCCTGAGCTTGATCTTGGAACCATTTCCTGTCAGATATTTCTTCATGTTCTTCATGTGCCATTTTTTTTTAATCATTATCCCGGGACTGGTTGTAAAATGTTCCATTTAACATTGTCAGTTGACTCAGCTCTTAGGTTCTATAACTTTATTTTAGTATCTTATAAACTTTTATTGTCATAGTTCACATTTGTGCATTTTTCATCTGACATTTCTAGTAGCTGATTGAAATCTGGGGCATCCTTGCATAAGGAGACAAAGAGAAGACATTAGGTCTAGAATGGGATGAACTAAACTTCTCCAGATCTTAGCTTGGATGGGTAGGAAGGTTAACAACACAAGAAAAAGTGCACCACATAAACAGTGGGAGACAGTAAGTGCCATATGTTAATACTCACAGTGAACCCTAGTCAAGTACTTTCATTGTATAATCAGCCTAGTTAGTAATGAGTGTTGGACCACTGAGCAATAGAACATTCACAAAATATTTTGCATGGCTCAGAAGTTCTCCAAATATTTCTTGTTCAGTTAGATCTATTCATTTGAAAATCATTTGTTAAGAAGTTTTCATGTACCAGGAAACGGGCATTCCAAGTTGCTTAAGAAAAGGAGCTCATAGATTAGTAGGGGAGACATGCAAACAGATAATTTTACTCTGGAGTATTAGACCTTATAGATACTAAGTAAAACATTTCTATTTATTTTAAATTATCACGGCCATCTTAGAGACAAAAGGACTATGGAATTATCTAGACTAGTTCTTGTATTTTACAGATTAAAGAGAGAAGGCACAGAGAGGTAAATAGAGGCATTGCTCAGTAGAACCCTCATCTTCTTACAACTGTGCTACTAAAGCCCCCATTGATGCTGATAGAACTATGTTACTATGAACAACACAATATTGCTAATATGAAAGAGGAATATACTTTATTCTTGTCCCATATTATGCCTTGCATTGTAAGGCCCCAAATTTCATGTGCTGCCCTCATGTCTTTGAGCTTCACAGGGCCCCAAAGTCCTAACCACATAGTTCTCTGCTCTTTCAGATACACTCCCCACCCAATGGGAAGTCCTCCCCACCTGGCTACCCCCCCTGATAGCTAGACCAGCTGCCTACTACTGGTCGTCACCCTAAAGCTTTTGCCTCCCTATCAACCTTTAACGTTATTCAAACAGGCAATCACATCCTCCTGCAGGACCCAGGAGTTGCCTCCCTGTTTTGCTCCTACCAAGCCTGCTTTCCACAGTCCCTTGTTTACTCTACTCCCAAGTGCAGCCCCCAGATGGCCCTGCATGGCATGTTCTTTTGCCCTGGGCTGTGAGTATATGTGACTAATAAACTGCTGTCAGTCCATCGTTTGTGTCGGGTGTCATATTTTCAGCCATCTTTTCCTATTTAGGTTGAGGATCCCTTCCACATCAAACAGGTGAATAGGGGGTGATCAGCACATGCCCCCACACAGAAATCAAGGTCAGTTCTAAGCAGAATACTGGCAGCTGCTGTTCCTCTAATTCATAATTACTGCTTTGAGGAGGAGAAGTAGCAATTCCATATTCCATTCTAATCAGTACCCAACACCAAGTACCTCTGCTTCTAGTACCACCTTAAATCATAAGACAGGAAGTAGGGGGAGCGTGACCATCAAGGCTTACTGCATTCAGGTAGCATAGCTCCCAAAGAAAAGCATCATGGGACACTACATCAAAAACTAATGATGTAATGTATGGTGATTAACATAACATAATAATAAAAAAAGAGCCTCATAGATGAATGTGATTTTTAGGGAGCACCCGATAGTCATGTATGCTTGAGATCAGGTTACAATCACATCATTTGATTAGATTGTTGGACAACCAGAAAATGGTGTAAAATTCTCACTCCAGCCCAGCAGTCTGCTCACCATAGTAACTTGGGGTTTTAATGGGTGCACTTTCACAGAAGACTTTATTAAAAGTAGGGAAAGTGACAGAGGCTAAGGGAATCCACATACA